ACTCTCTGTGCATGCTCTCTCCTTGCTCCCTCAGGCCTGGTAGTGGTAATGGCTTTCTAGTCCCAGGGAACTGCACCATCCTTGCTGGTTTTCCCAAACTCTGCACACACCTTCATAAGTGGTTCCTTTATTCTCTACTCGATTACTTGATTTGAACGTACGATCAGTTTCTTGCTGGGGCCCTGACCAATAAGGGATATATTTAGGAAAAGTATTTCAGTCAGTAGGAAAATCCAGTGCAAAAGCCTGAAATGAATGTATGTCTGACATGTTCAAGGAATAGCGAGGAGACCGGTGTGGCTGGAGTTGAGTAAGTGAGGAGGTCACTAGTAGGAGATGAGCTCCTAGAGGATGTGGGGGAGCCAGGTCGGAAATAGCCTTTTAGGCCATTGCAGAGATGAGGGTTGGGCAGAAGACTGGCGTTACTTGATTTCTGTTTTCTTATATCACTGTGGCTGCTCTTTTGAGAATAAACTGTACCGTGTAAGAGCTGTGACAGGAGATCTGTTAGGAGGTAAGAGATAATGCTGTTTAAATGAGAGAACGAATTTAAATAGTAATTCCCTAACTGTCTTGGGTCAGCATTGGGGTAGTAGAGGATACAGTGAGAAGTGGGCAAACTAAATATATTTTAATGATAGAGTCAGTAGGATTTTCTGTTGGGACGTGAAGGGGAAAAGTTAAGAATGACTGGTACCATATATAGAAAACCCTGAAGACTACACAAAAACTACTAGAGCCAATAAACGAATTCAGCAAGGTAGCAGGATACAAGATTAACATACAGAAATCTGTTGCATTTCTTTACACTAACAATGAAATATCAGAAAAAGAAATTTTATAAAATCCCTTTTAAAATTGCATCAAAAAATAAAATATTTAGGAATAAACCTGACCACAGAGGTGAAAGACTTGTATGCTGAGAACTATAAAACATTGATAAAGGAGATTAAAGATGATTCAAAGAAATGAAAAGATATCCCATGCTTTTGATTGGGAGAATTAATATTGTTAAAATGACCATACTACCCAAAGCAATCTACAGATTTAATGCAATCCCTGTCGAATTACCAAAGAAATTTTTCACAGAACTAGAACAAATAATCCTAAAATTTATATGGAATCACAAAAGGCAATACTGAAAAAAAAAAAAAAGAACAAAGCTGGAGGCATAACTTCCTAGACTTAAGGCAATACCAAAAGCTACAGTAATCAAAACAGTTTGGTATTGGCACAAAAATGAACATATGAATCAATGAAACAGAATAGAGAGCCCAGAAATAAACCCACACACCTACAATCGATTAATCTTCAACAAAGGGGGCAAGAATATACAATGGAGAGAAGACAGCCTCTTCAGCAAGTGATGTTGAGAAAGCTGGACAACTGCATGTAAATCACTGAAGTTAGAATACTCCCTCACACCATACACAAAAATAAACTCAAAATGGCTTAAAGACTTAAACATAAGACAGGACACTATAAATCTCCTAGAAGAGAACATAGGCAAAATATTCTCTGACATGCATCATAGTGATGTTCTCCTAAGGCAGTCTATCCAAGCAATAGAAATAAAAGCAAAAATAAACGAATGGAATCTACCTAAACTAATAAGCTTTTGCACAGCAAAGGAAATCATAAACAAGACAAAAAGACAACCTACAGAATGGGAGAAAATATTTGCAAATAATGCAACTGACAAAGACTTAATTTCCAGAATATATAAGCAACTCACAACTCAATAACAAAAAAGCAAACAACCCAATCAAAAAATGGGCAGAAGACCTAAACAGACATTTCTCCAATGAAGACATACACATGGACAATGGACACATGAAAAATGCTCAACATTGCTAATTATCAGAGACATGCAAATAAAAACTACAATGAAGTATCACCTCACACCAGTGAGAATGGCCATCATTAAAAAGTCCACAAATGATAAATGCTGGAGAGGGTGTGGAGAAAAGGGAACCCTCCTACACCATTGGTGGGAATGTAACCTGGTGCAGCCTCTATGGAGAACAGTATGGAGATTCCTTAAAAAACTAAAAATAGACTTACCATATGATCCAGCAATACCACTCCTGGGCATATATCTGGAGGAAACTAATTAAACAAGGTGCATGGACCCCAGTGTTCATAGCAGCATTATTTACAATAGCCAGGACTTGGGAAGCAACCTAAATGTCCACTGACAGATGATTGAATAAAGAAGATGTGAGATATATATATATATATATCTCACATGTGTATATATATATATACACATGGAATACTACTCATAAAAATGAAATAATGCCATTGGCAGTAACATAGGCCTAGAGATTATCATACTAAGTGAAGTAAGCCAGAAAGAGAAAGACAAATATATGATATCACTTAATATGTGGAATCTAAAAAGAATGATACAGATGAACTTATTTACAAAACAGAAAGAGACTCATAGACATAGAAAACAAACTTATGGTTACAGGGGTGGGGCAGGGAAGGGAGGGAGGGATAAATTAGGAGTTTGGGATTTGCAGATACTAACTACTACATATAAAATAAAAAAACTGTTACTTACTGTATAGCACAAGGAACTATAATCAATATCTTATAATAACCTGAGAGTATGAAAAGGAATATATGTATAACTGAATCAATATGCAGAAATGAACACAACATTGTAAATCAACTATAACAAAAAAGATGCAAGCCATTAATACAGTATGTGAGATTAGTATTGGAACCCAAGGGACTCTTGCTGCTCCTGTCCCTGGGTAATGCTCACATATAGCATAGTGAGAAACAAATGGTATTTGCTTGACTTCTTAATAAAAGCTAAAACTTAAAAAAAAAAAAGAAATGATTGCAAGATTTCTGGTCTGAGGAGTGGGAGGATTAGCAGAATTGGGGAATACTGTGGGTGGAGCACATTTTGGTGGAAAGATCAGAAGTTCAGTTTTGAGTATGTTAACTTAAAGCCAGCTGTTAGGCATCTCAGAGTCTGCTGGTATCTAGGTTTGGAGTTCTGTGGTCTGCATTAGAGATATAAATTTGGGAGAAAGCGGTATATTAACTGCAGTTAAATGCATGAGACTGGATGAGCTCATCAAGGAGAGGTTATAGATACAAAGAAAAGAGGCTAGAGCTGGGCCTCCGCACCCCTTGTTAAGAAGTTGAGGAGAAGAGGAAGAAAAGGCAAAGAAGACCTGAGGGGTCATCATGAAGTAGGAGAAAGGGAAAGGAGGCGAGGGGGCAAGGAGGAGAAGGGGAGAGAGGGAGAGCGTGGTGGAATCCACTCCGGAAATCACAGTGGTTAGCTCTTCCTGCTACCTGTATACTGTGGCAGCCAGGCTGTGGTTAATAACATGGGCTTGGCCAGTGAGATGTCACTGCCCACAACTTTGAATCATGAGGGAGTTACGCAAAGGCTGCAGGAAGAGTTTATTTATGGCAACGTCTTATCAGACGATGTATCTGAAGACTTCAGCTTAGAGTCATGACTTCTGCAGCTTAAGATAGTGTTTTTCTAACTTTCCTACAGGTTTGAAAAGTATCAAAATCAAATGGGGGAAAATGCTGTCCTCTGATCACGGTGTCCCATGGTGTGGATCTAGTGGTGGCAGGGGTGGTATCTCAGGGAGTTTACCCTGGGGCGTGACTTTGTGTTTCCTGTTGCCTTCCCTAACATACCATGGACTAGTTTCTGAGCCTAGGTCTCTTCATGATGGGTTCATGGTTCCTGTGAGCTATTTCAGCAGAAACCCCAATGGCCTTTGACTCAGCTGGTTTGAGTTGGACTTTCTGTTCCAGCAGTTATGAAACAGCTCACAGGAACCATGGGTTACTTAAGAGTCAAGATTAAATGAAATAACAGAAATAAATGTGTCTATAACAATATTTACCAAATAGCCAGTAGTTATAAGTATTAGCTGATGTCTAGATTAATTCAGAGGGAAATTCCATTGATTTACACTCTAAATATACATGTGTTCTCTATTAAAAAGTCTACCGGTGTTTTATACAATGTTTCTACTTATCTCTCAATTCACCACGTACCTCTAATATATTCCTTCATCTGTAAAATTTTTTTTTGTAGATTTACACATTTCCTTGTTTGTAAAGTGTCTGTCTCACATATTTGTGAAATGTGTAAAGTTAGAAGATAGTAATCATTCAACAAATGTTGGTCGTTGTTACGATCATGATTTAAGGGTTTCGTCTCCAGGAACCTCCCTAGCTCAAAAATGACAGTGCTGAAAGATGTGTTTTGCACAGCTACTTTTTCTAAGTGCTTTTGAGCCCTTTCCAAGTGAGGTTCCAGGGGCAGAGGAGATCAATAAGCCTATTTCGCTGTTGGAGAGAACAAGGCAGAGATTGTTTGGTTTAGTCCAGCACTTTAGAAGATCAACCAGAAATTGGTGTTACTCTAAAAAATTAGAACCGTGTAGAAGTGACCAAGAGCTTTTGCTTTGTTTTGTTTGTTTCATGTCGGAATTCTTGAACAAGCCCCACTGGGGCTTTGCTCTTTTATGTACCTAGCAATGTTGAATTGTAGGGTTATGTTGCAAAAGAACTTGAAGGTGTATGTAGTAAAAATAAGAACCTATAATAAAGATGTAAAAAGGTTGCAGATACATGTTAACAACACCACTTTATGGATGCTTTGGATGACCTTAATCACAATGCATCCTTCTGTATTGTTGTTGACTTTTTTAGTATTGCTGTTAATGAGAAAATCAAGCTGGTTAATATATTTGATTGTGTTTCACATTTTTTTTTTTGCTAAAATAGCATTTAAAATGTGAATTTCACCAATTCTTCATGTCTCCTTTGTGTATATAACATATACTATGGATGCCAGCTTTAGTGCATAGTGATGACTTAGGTGTGTCTATGGTACCCGACACATCCTCCTCTGTAGGTCAGGAGAATCACTGTTGCCAAAGGCCTAGTGTGTTGTTTTCTTCCTTGTCTCTTGTAATGGCTCTGTTTCTTTATTCTCTTTTTAGGTGATACAGTTAATATTGGAGATGTATCCTACAAGTTGAAAACTCCTAAGAGCCCGGAACTTGTGCCACAGAACTACAGTAAGAAATAGTCATTTATTTATGAATTTATCATTTTGTATCACTTCACCCATGAATAGTTCAGTGAAATACTTACTTTACCACATACTATTGTTCTGTTTTATAATTGGAATCAAATTTACATTTAGGAAAATGAACAGATCTTAAGTATTCATTTTGGTTAGTTTTAATTCTATAAATCTGTATAACCGCCAGGATTGCTCTTGTCACCTCCAGATGGTCTCTGTGCCCCTTCCCCTCTGCCCTGCCCCGGAGGCCGCTGTTCACTTCTCCACCTTGGTAGATTAGTTTTTCCTGTTCTTCAGCTCTGTATAAATAGAATCATGTAGTATAGTTTTGTGTGTACGTATCTGCTTTCTTTCCATCAAGATAATAATTTTGAGGTTCATCCATATTCCTGTACCTATCAGATTGTTTTTAATTGCTGAATAATATTCCATTGGATAAATATACCATAATTTGTTTATTTGTTGTCCTGTTCATGGACCTTTGGATGGTTTCCATTTTTGGACTGTTGTGAATAAGGTGCTGTGAACTTTCCTGTACACGTCTTGTGATCATATGTTTTCACTTATCTTGCATAAATAACTAGGAGTTGATGTGTCATAGGGTGGATTCCTGTTTAACTTTATTAAGCTCTGCCAAACAGTTCTCCACAGTAGTTGTACTGTTTCACCCTTTGACCATCAGTGATGTTCCACATCCTTGCCATCATTGGTATTTCTAGTCTTTTTTATTTTACTCATTCTGTTAGGTATGGTCATGGTTTTTGTTTTATAACAGCTTTGTTGAAATATAATTCATATACCATAAAACACCTTTTTAAAGTGTACAACTCAGTGGTTTTTAGTATATTCATACAGTTGTGCAACCATGCTACTGTCTATTAACTTTAGAACATTTTCATCAAGCCAAAAAGAAACCTCATAACCCATTGACAGTAATTCCATTTCCTCCTCTTTTTCCTCCCCCCTCACCCTCCCGCCAGCCCTTGTAAATCATTAATATACTTTCTGTTTCTATGAATTTGCCTATTCTGAACATTTTCATATAAATGGGATCATATAATATGTAGCCTTTGTGTTTGGCTTATTTCACTTCCCATGTTTTCAAGGTTCATCCATGGTATAGCATGTATCAGTAATTCATTCCTTTTTATGGCTAAATAATGTTCCATTATATGGATATACCACTTTTTGTTTATTTATTCATCAGTTGATGCTCATCCTGGGTCATTTCTACTTTTGGGCTGTTACAAATAATACTGCTATGAACATTCATATACAAGTTTTTGTATGAACATAATGTTTTCAATTTTTGAGGGTTATGTACCTAGGAGTAGAATTGATAGGTCATAGTGGTAACTCTTTGTTTAACATTTTCAGGAATTATCGAACTATTCTCCAAAGAGGCTGTACCATTTTACATTCCCACCAGCAATGTATAAGAGTTCCAGTTTCTCCGTATCTTCACCAATACTTACTATTGTCTGTCTTTTTTATTGTTACCATCTTCATGGGTATGAAGTGGTATCTCATTATTGTTTTGATTTGCATTTCCCTAATGACTCACAGTCACTTCTTTGCTCAAAATCATGTCAATTCTTTTCTCAAAGTTCTTTAAAGGATTCTCTAATACTTTAGGAACAAAGATCAGTCCTTATCTTTAATGATCTAGTCTCAGCCTCATCTGTCAATGTCTTTCTTCTATTCTGTGTTCCAGTCATTGGGCACAATATAAAATATTTTTTTGTTCACTCTTCAGATTCTTCCAGGAGACTGGTGTTCCTTGAGGGAGAATATCTCATTTTTATCCAATATAAATTTCTATTGACTTTACCTCCTAAATGGCTCTGTGATCTATTCTCTCCACTTTGTCCCATTTTTCTTTTACTATATATTTTTTGAGTTTTTTTTTTAGTCACAACTCTAGGGATCACAATTAACACTTTAACTTAAAACAAACTTGTTCAGATTAATACTAATTTCATTTCAATAGTCCACAAAAACTTTGCTCCAATATAGCTCTGTTCCCTTTGACTTCTGTACTATTATTGTTATATAAATTATATCTTGATATATTAAAAGTCTAATGACACAATTTTTTAATTATCATTTTATGAGGTTGTTTTTTAAATCAGATAAGAGAAGAAAAGAGTTACAAACAAAAATATGCTTATATTATTTTTATGTTTACATATGTAGTTTCCTTTACTGGTATGCTATTTCTTTGTGGGGATCTGAGTTACTGTCTAGTGTGCTTTCATTTTAGCCTGAAGGAAGGACTCCCATTGGTATTTCTTTAAGGCACATTTGTTAGTGATGAATTCTCAGTTTTTGTTTGTATAGAAGTTTCTTAATTTCACCTTTATTGTTTGAAGAATTCTTGTTTGGCATTTTTTCCTTTCAGCACTTTGAGTATGTCATCTTACAGCCTCTGGCCTCCATAGTTTCTGATGAGAAGTCAGTTATTAATTTTATCAAAGATCCCCTCTATATGATGATTCATTTTTCTCTCTGCTATTAAAATATTCTATTTGTCTTTTGATACTTTGACTATGGTGTGTCTAAATCTAGTGTATCTCTTTGAGTTTGACTGACTTGATGTTTGTTGAGCTTCTTGGATATGCAGATGAATGTTTTTCCATCATTTTGGGGGAGTTTTTGGCAGTTATTCATCATTATTATTTCTTTCTTTGCTCATCTCTTTCTGTTTCTGGGACTCCCATTATGCACATGTTAATATGCTAAATGGTATCCCACAGGTTTCTGAGGCTCTGTTAATTTTTCTTCATTCTGCTTTCTGTTTCTTAGATTGGATAATCTCAATTGATTTATCTTCAAGTTTGCTGGTAATTATGCCTGCTCACGTCTGTTGTTGAGCACCTTTAGTGAATTTTTTCATTTCACATATTGTAGTTTACAACTTCAGAATTTCTATTTGGATTTTTAAAATAATTTCGATTTCTTTACTGATATTTTCTGGTGAGAGATTGTTGTCATACTTTCGTTTAATTCTTTAGACATGATTTCTTTAGTTCTTTGAAACTATTATGTTTATAATATTATAATATTTCTAAAATTATAATATTTATAATAGCTAACTTAAAGTGCTTGTCTATTAAGTCCAACATCTGGCTTCCTCAGAGATAGTTTTTACTGATTTTTTCCTCTGTGTATGAGTCATGCTTTCCCATTTCTTTGTGTTTGTTATACTCTTTTTTGAAAAGTATACATATTAATTAGTATAATGTAGCAATTCTGGAAATTGGATTTTCCCCTTCCTCAGGGTTTGTTTTTACTCCTTGTTATTTGTTTAGTGACTTTCGTACACGATTTTTTTTTAAGTCTGTATTCTTTGTCATGTGCAGCTACTGAAGTTTGTGCTCAGTTAGCTTAGTGGTCATTGAATGATTGGACAGACATTTCTTAAACGCCGTGAGCAAATAAATTCTCTCAGCCTTCACCCAGCAATAATATCTATTTTAAAACATATAAGCATATGCTTTGAATGAACATATTCATGTATTTTGTAAATAACTTAGAGGCAAGTCCCAAAGTGTCTGTTTCTAAATATAGGAAAACTCCCATAAATTATCACAAAAAAACCCCCAGAAAAACAAAAGAAAAACCCTCAACATTTTCTGGTTTACATACTTTCAATTTTTATTATTGTTTGCATACATCTCTCACATAATAATTTTTTTTAAATTTCTTTTGCTTGGTTATTTAGTAGCTTACCCTTTGAAATTTATCAGGAGAGAATTTATACTGAAGGCAGTTGGATGGTCCATATACTGATTTGCATTTTCTATGCTTGCTATCCATTCATCCTTGTTCCTACCATATTTACAATGTAAGTATCCTTATCTGTTATTGTTTGTATATCAAGATGATGACAGCATCCCAGTAGTAAACTGTTACATTGTCTCTACTAGTCTTTCTTATGAACAAGTGTGCCATTTGTAAGAAAAGGACCCTTTGGAGTTTGGTTAACTTGAAGTAGGAGTGGCTGAGTTAATTAAGTTAACCAAAATCTCACATGGCCACATTAGCATTATGTGGTTGCTATAGACTGATTGGACAGATAGGTTGTATTGCATAATATAACATGTTTTTATGCCTCTATTTACTGTATTATGTTCAAATATTATATTCTTTGAACTTTTTCTCCCTCTCTCAGGGACTATTTCCAAAATGGGAAAATTACAGTTCATTCTTGTTACTACATGATTGATCAGAGATTATGGGTTTTGATTATGAGAGAACTTTGATGTACTTTTTTCTCCTTCGGAGTTATTTCTTTTAAATGTGTTAAAATATTTGGGAAATGGTGTTTTGTTGAAGTTTGATATCCTATTACTTTCCTTCCCATATTTATGCTTCATTTGAGCTTTTTGCCGTTTGAATATTTAATATTTTCACATGAAACATAAAATGATACACTTTTATTAAGGAAAGGAACTTTAGCAATTATTATCCTCTCTGAAACTCATTTCATAGCCGTGAAAGTAGGACCGCAAGAAAGAGGTCAGAAGACTAATTAATTAGTAGCAAAGCCCAGATTTCCTGACTTCCTTTTGGTTTTCTTTTTATCGTCTGCTGCAGTGTCTCTGGCTGCTTGCTTTAGAATAAGTCCTAAGATGTTAGAAAACTCTTTTGGAATTTAAAAGTATAAAGGATTATTGAAAAATATTAAAATAGCTGAAGCATGGCAGTGCTATTTTATTTCTATCTTTATTAAAATTATTATTCAGCACACTGAAAATCATTGTTATCTTTTAGTAATGAGATAAGTCACAATGTTGAACTGTGAACCCTGATATCCATATTTAACATCTATTTAATGGAATGGTAGAAATCCTGCTAACTGGAATAAGCTATAGACTAGAAATTTCTTAAGTGGAAGTCTAAAATTCAATTAAAAACCACAAAAAAGCAGTATCATCTCATCAAAGTAAAATTTCTTAATTTGTTAACCATTTGATTGAGATAATGAAT